GTAATGATAGTTTTCAATATCATACTTATGGTATTACGAGTTGATTTTAAGTCACAGAATATTATATAATATATGATTTTATGAATATTAGGTAAAGAGAGAAAGCCATATTAAAAGGAAGAAATATAATGTAAGCAGTTCTGATGAAGATAACAACGAGAATGTTTCTAAGTACAGTAAAGTCGAAGAAAATATAACAGATATAAAAGGAACCACAAAAAGAGTGACAAGAAAGAACTCTAAACAGATCATTCAGCCTATAACCCCAATTGAAAAATCAAAAATTACTGAAAAAGCTAAGGAGGCCAATGAAGATAACTTTGAATTACCAGTTCTACAACACTCTAGTAGAAGTTCTAAGAGTTCTCAGAATGGGGAAGTGAATAAAGTCAATGACGCCATTGTGCCCAATATAGATGATATCGAAGAACCATCTATGTATGAAGATGCAGTAGGAAGGCCTGTTCCAATTATGAATTCAACTTTAAAACATAGCCTGTGTATGTCCGAAAAGGGATTGAATGCTACTGTAGTATTGGAGCGTTTACCAAATCAACCACCAAAATTAAATGAAACAGTGGTGATTCAGAAGACAATAAAAAATAGTAATAGTTTGAAAGAAAATACTAAGAATACACTGTCAGACAATATGCAACCATACAAAAGACCTGCACAACATGATGACTATAATGAATTAATTACAGACGATGAATCATCGCCTGAAATGAAAAAACCGAAGAAGCAACTTAATAGGAAGCAGCCTAATAAAAAAGAGACAAAAGATATGTTAGCGATATCTAGCGAGGACGAAACCTCTAATACACCAGTGAAAACCCTCAAAAACGCAAATGTGTCCACAGTCACACAAGAAAGTAAAACATATAAATCGAATGCATTATTTAGTCCTTATGCAAAAGAATCTGTGAAGAAACGGGTTGAAGCATTTGAACAAGCGGTTATGTTTAGTCCAAAGTCTGTCGACATAGGTGCTCCAACCAGAATAACTAGAACGAAAACTCGTGCAATGGCCACTGCGGAAATGCAGACAGAAACGAAAACGACGGAGAAAAATGTTGCGCAAATATTAGCTCGTAAGTCGCTCGCTAAAGCTAAGAAGATTTCGTTAGCGAAACAAAAAAACAATGATGAACTTAAAGAGGTAAAAGAATCTGTGGTATTTATACTTTATAATTATTTTAATCTCTTCTATTTTCTTTTATTGCTGTATTTCATTAACAATAAATTAAACTTTCTCTTTCAGAATAAAGAACAACTGCCGGAACGAATTAATAAATTACTGACTCAAACTGATAAATCAAATGTAAAAATACAACAGTTGAAAATGACACCTTTAAACAAGACAAAATTGATGCAGCCTGTACTGTCTCTTAATCGTCTTCATACTCCTTCAAACATGCAAAATCTTTCGAACGTAAGATTAATACAAAATTTTATTTTTCTTGATTGAAACTGTGCCTTCTTTTTGGCTGAACTTTTGCATCAGTTCTTTCGTCTTTTTTTCTCCAGGAAGAAAGAAGAGAAAGAAAGATGAACTGGTGCAAAGTTCAACTAAAAAGAACACAATCTATAATGCAATTTAAGAAAAATAAAATTTTGTCATATTTATTTATTTACATACTTTTATTTTAGTATCCAAAAGTTATAACCGCTTCGCGCACCAATATTGTTACTGGCGTGGAGTCTTTCATTCAACCATCAAAAACTATTACAACTTCCAATTCGGTAGAAAAGTTAGAGGAAAAGAGACGGCACGAGGAAGACGCGAGAAAAAAGAAAGACGAAGCTTTGAGATTACAGACGGAGGAGAAGAAAAGGTATACAAAAATTTCATAATGCTAATCAAAAGATGTGCAGTACAATATCTCGATATATACTTTATATTATATACAGGAAGCGGCAAGAGAAGGAACTCAAAAACAAATTAGCAAGAGAAGCTAAGGAGAAGCAAGAATTAGAGAAACGGCAGAAAACCGAGAGAGAAAGGGAAGAGAAGGCAAAATTAGCTCTTTTGATTCAAGAAAGGCATCGCGAGGAAGCGGAGAAGAAGCGTCTTGCCCAATTGCAACGAATACAGGAGAAGGAAGAACGTCGCAAATTGGAAGAGCAACAGAGATTGCAGAGGTTACAAGAACAAGAGGAAACGGAACGTCTGTTGGCTGAGCAAAGACGTCGAGAGCAAGAAGCTGAAAAACGTAAGGAAGCGGAAGCAAGAGCCCAACAAGCCGCTGCCGAAGCTTTGAAACAGAAAAATCAGTTACTTGCAGCCCAAGCTAAAGTGAGTTATCTTTTTATGATGGAGAAAAAATTACTTCAATCCTACTTTCACTCAAAACTGATAAATCGCTTGTTTAATTTTTTTGCAGAACAAACAACAGACTAATAATAAGTATCAAGGTACTGTGAATTATGTGTTAGATAGTGAACCTGATGATGATGAATCAGATGATGAAAGCAAACCGAAGCACGAGATACCGTATTGGGCGCAGGGTACGTGTTCTTTTATATCTTAAATCATCATTAAAATAAGAAGAAAAGAATATGAATATGTTTCTTTTTTAATTACAGCGCACATCCGCAAAGTACAACTTGCAATGCAACAATACATTCCCGAAAGAATAGTTTATAAATTCTTCAATACTCGTAAGTGCACGCCAGATTTGACTGAATTATTCCATGGTATAGATAAAAATCGATTGAAGCGTACATCCAGTGCAATCTGGAAAACGCCACCGCGTATTTCCATGATGGAACCCGAGTTTGTCGAACGAAAATTGCCTTTAAAAAATTAATATGACAAATACATGTGGATATAATCAGAGGCATTACGTATATTGTATGCATGTGAAATGTAATAATAAGGCAAATTGTTTTAATTCGACAAACATGAAGTCGCGTTGTTCGTTGTTATATCCTAATATTCATAGAATGATGATGTATGTACGTAGGTCTGATTTGACAATTTAATTTTTTTTACTTATTTATATTTTATCATATATTTGCTGAAGAAAAAGTAAAGCCTACATATAATTAGATAATCGACTTAGTAAATAATTAGATAAAAAAATAATTGTTATGAATACGAGTTTTACCAACGTGAGTAAATTAATTCTCATTTTAATTTATACAATGTGTAAAATATGTACTATTTTAATATATATACTAACATTTTGCAAGAGTTTATAAGGTTCAAATGATGGAGAGCATTGCGGTAGATTTCATTTTGTGGAAGTGCTTTTGCCTCTTTGTATTGCAGAAGAGCGCAGTGGTTCCATTGGTCTTCTTAAGTACATCTTTTTACTGTAATTATAAATAGTTTAAAAATATATATATATATATCAAAGTATTCGACGGACACCCTGTGTGATATCTTTTCAATGATTTCGAATAAAAATAAAAATTCATACGTAGGTTCTATTTTCTGTTCAAGCAGGAGTATTTTCTGTGCCTCTACAGGTTTTAAAGAGTAGGTTGATAAATACGTATAAATTGGTATCTACAATAAATGTAAAATTTTTAAGTTGAAATTGCATTACAGCGAATTCGATTGAATGCATTCAGTGCGCACTCATGCACATTAAAGCCATCGTACACATTTATTAAAAATGTGTGTTCAATGTAAATATAAAAATGGATAACAATGAAATCCTCAAGACATTTTATTGTGCTGTTAAGTAAAGTCTGTATTTTATAATTCGAAATATTTGCATGCATTTTACATAGATTATTAATGTACATTAGTGCGTCCGAATCTGCTATTATATATGACAACATATAATGAATCTTACAAAATATATATTTTAATACATATGAAGTATGTATAATTGTATATGTATGTACTCACGTATGGCAAAGTATTGTCTAATCGCAGATGTTTCTGATAGATGGTTTCAGGCAACTGTGATTCATAATATGTCTCGAGCACAAGTCTGTCGAATTCCTTCCCGTACAACATATATTGCTCTCCTTCGAGAATTTCTTTTGAGATATCAATTTCCTTTTCTTCAAACTCTATCGGTCTTCTCATACCACCATGAAGTACCTTTGCATCGTCCCAAATGTACATTGCGTTCCCGTATATACATTTTTCAAATTTACCTTCAAAGTGGTAGAACTGGCAAATCCCTCCCTAATAATGTCTGCTGGAAGCTTATAATCCTCGAAATATTTTTGCACGGGCACAGTAGGCAGAATTGGGATCCAATCTCTAAACGTGCCCAGTGTTGATATATAACGACCTCCAAAACTCCATAAACGTACTGTGCGATCTGCGCTACCGCTATTATTTATTAAAATTTTTTTAGTAAAGAGATGCGCCTGTATCAAAACCTTTATAATAATTGTATATACCTGACTATCACTCGCGCGCTAGAAATGATTTGAAGAGAAGTAATTCCCCGCGTATGACCACGCACAGATGACAACAGAAGTGGCAGCCGTTTATTTTATCTTTCCATAAAAATGGGAATTCTAATCTCAGTAGCGGCATGCAAATTTTCGGTGGATTTGGTAGCATGTAATTAGAGAGAAGCCAAACTTTTATGTACCCTATACTATGACCTTCAAGGGGAAATTCCAGAAATAAAATTGTAGACATGAGAAAAAAGATTTAATTGAAAAGTTGAGGATGTAATCAAATCTTTAGAAAGTTCCAAAACCTGTTATAAAAAATTGATTTTCAGGATCAGTAGCTAAGGATGTGGCACAATCACCGACAGTGTGTATGACCGAAAAAGCACCTAAAAATCCCGCCGCAGGATGATGCGTCCATACTTGTATCAAACCGGAATCGAGGGCAACCAACAGTGTACCGACATCGGGTTTCATTTCTCGCGCTGCTAGAAAGATTATCGCGCGTACTGCAGTTACGCGAACAATGTTCAATGCTGACTCTTGATGAACACATGGAGTCAATTTTCTGTTTCACGAGGAATCGGTTTAAAACATTTCGACAAAAGAAACCTTTTCTTTCGTAGCCATAAGCGCATTATTATTTACTTAATCTGCTGATTGACGGATCCACTGATCTCATTCAATTTTCTAAACTCTTTCTGTTCATTCGTCATTCTCGTGTACCTATTAAGTCAATTAACCTTCGATTGCAAGTTGCTGACATTTACTGTATTAATTATTGTTCATGAAAATATCAAGTTGACATCACCTTCTATTAACATCAGTCACTAGATACTTTCTAAAAGGCTGGCCCGTTTCAAGATTCCAGAAAATTAATTCTTCGTTGTACGATCCGGTAGCTAATAGCTGTGGATATCTCGCAGCCATGCATAGAATGTCGTCGGTGTGACTGGTCGTCCAATTCTTTTTGCATATATCAGATTTGAAAATCGACAATTCTGTCACGTGTTTATTCCAACCGCAGCACAGAATTCGATTTTTGTACCATGTGATACTCGTTATTTCGCTGCAGAAAAAAATAATATGAAATGAAAATTTATTATATCGCTCATGATATCGATGAAAAGTAACATTAGAAGATATTCTCTGATAGCGAATTATTCAGATTTATTCACGTTGCATGCTCTAACATGCTTTTACTATAGCAATGTGCTTATTGGAATACGTAGAAGCTATTGCATGTGACGCGGATAAACTTTTATATTACATTCGATTAGTATATTGAAAACTGCTATGTGTGAAATTAGCAAAATGTAAAAGTATATAAATATATATATATTTTAAATGATTATAAATGATAATATTATTGCTATGTTAATTAACAGAATATAATATATTATTTTATTGTCAAAAAGTTGATTATACGAGAGAAAATCACAAAGTAAGGTCAATGTTGTATATTAAATAAAAAAGTAGGGCGGTATCACAGTCCGTTCTTATTTTAAAATCATTTTAAGTAATATCTTAAGATGTTAATGCAGCTCTCTGATTGATTCATAACATTTTAAATATCATACTTAAAACTTAATCTTAAATATAAGAAAATCAACTATGAATACCGCCCAAAGACGAAGGCATTCCGATAATTAAGCGGTCATGTTTATGTGCTTAGAAGTGCTACGTGACTAACTTCAGAAGATTTTTGATTATTTTAATCACTTGTTAAAAGGTCACCTGCTCCCCCAAACTCCACTTATGAATCTGCCGCAGCTCTGCTTGCATGCGTAGAGAACATTGACCTTTTTTATTCACTTTCACATTATACACTGATTCATTGGCTACGTTCAGCAGAGAAAATAGCTTTGCAACTGTTGTAAAATTCTTCAATATGATTGGTTTTTGCTTTCGATTCCTTATAGATCTATGAACGTATAAACCAATGACATTGAAGAATTTTACAACAGTTGCGAAGCTGCTTTCTCTGCTGAACGCAGCCATTGTCGTGCGAGTGATCGAATTTACTATAATTCACGTAACTTTGTTATCAATTATTGTAACTGTAACAAAAAATGTTTGGAAAGAAAATTGTATAAATAATTTTTCGAAAATGTCATAATTTTCCAATTACAATACTTTTTGTAATTTATGGCGTTTTTCCTTAGAATACATTGGTATCTTGTCTATCTGGTCTTGCACTATCAGTCGCGTCTATGTACTGGAATGGTGCACACCATGGTGTACAATATAACTTCATTATTGCGCTAAAACCCCGGTTGACTTCCATTTTTTAATTTTAAATGTCACACTGGCTCTACACCGTAGCCGGTGCTAAACACGGTACACTAGGCCTGTTCTTTTTAGCTGAACTTTTGCATCAATTCATTTTCCTTTTCTTTTCCGGAGGAAAGAAGAAGGATGAACTGGTGCAAAAGTTCAGCCAAAAAGAATAAGCATACTGTTTAAATGTATGTTGTACTAAGAAAAACGCTATTACTATGGAATGTCACATAATTTGTAAGAAAAAGAGCAGTTATTTAATATCCACTGTACCATTGATAATCAACCATCATATCGCGTATACAGGTTCCGGTATTGTAATTCCACATTTTCACTGAACCATTTCTTGCGCCAGTCACTAAAAATTGCTCCGAATCGTCGAAGCAAGCCGCAGTGATCTCGATGTCGACGTACTGTCCATATTGTATAATACTGTGAGCGTGTGATATCAAACGTAAACGGCGTCCGTACCATGGATCCCATACGATGATGCATGAATCCAATCCTGTAGAAACAATCTGCATCCCGATAAAATAACATATCATTTAAAACTGTGCAACTGTGTGTTATTTTATTGAATTATGCAACTTTGTTTTACTAAATAATTCAATTTTCATTAATGATTTTATTAATGATTTTTGGATAAAAGAGGAAGTTACCACACGGAAGAGCTGATTGTAGAGGACACAACTGACGCCCTTAGTGTGCGTATAGCCGTCCGAGATTTCCTCGTTAATTACGTGCTCGCAAACGACAACAGCTATCATCACGCTAGCAATAATCATCGTACAGGTCAGCGTGTTGTACACTATGGTCATGGGAGTGTATTCACTCAGCTCACGTGGTAATTTGTTGTATGTCTGTTTACGAAATGTACACATATCTTCTATTATTTATTAAAAGAAAAATATGATTTATTAAACGATAAGAAAAATAAAAATGTTCAACAGAAAAGAGACTATTATATCTAAGAATTATAATTTTTCTATACCTGAATGCAACTAAGAGCTGGAACGTCCCATACTTTTATGCATCTGTCTTTCGACAAGGAAAAAATGCGATTGCCAGCGTTAGTTACGACAAGCGCGCAGATAGTCGATCGGTGCCCCAACAAAATAGCATTTGCTTTCCTGGGAACAAACGGATTCCAAATGCGAACCACGCAGTCTGGTCCACCCGTTACCAATATTTGACTTTCTGAAAAAATCATTGTTTTAAAATCGAATCTGATTTACATCAAAATCTCCGTATCTGCGATTGCAAAGCGAAAGGATACCATCGCAGAACGTGAAACAGGATATTCCCATGAGAACTTGAAATTTATATTGCTTCTTTGTCCCACTCGTATCGAAAACGCACAAAGAACAATCAGAGCATTGGCTACTCGACACAAATACACGTAAGCTTCCATAATAAGCTACCTGGCTCGTCCAATTTGTATGTATATTTTTTAATTCTATGACATCTAATCCTTGTATCTCCCCCTAATTGTAGTAATCTTTTAGCAAAGTAATTTTCCGCAAAGCCTTCAACTACATCTATGAAGCAAACCTTTAATTTATATTGAAATAAGATGTAATCAAATTTGAACCTATTTTGAAATTAGTGCAATAAACAATTTTATAGAATAATTATTCACTTTAGAGAAGGCTTCTCCAATGACCTTGACCTTGACCTTGACGTATGTTGTCAAAGTCATGACCCTGAGTGACCTCCAACAGGTTTTACTTACTTTAATGACATTGTCGTAACGAAAAATGATCGAGTCAGTTGCAGTATATTGCTTGAAAGGTCCTCTATCCGTAGGATTAAAAGTTATGATTATAATAGACCCACTTGTATCACCTAGGACGATGTAAGAATTTTCGTTCATATTTCTACTAAAATAATAGTACATGCAAATGACTGCATTTTCCAAACTGGATATCTAGAAATATCATTTATTATTAATTACAATTAACAGTGGATAGATGATAAATGATAAAGTTTTACTAAATCTGAGTTAATCGCTGACCAGTATGCGGAGATCAAACTTTTTTGCCGCGACGTCGTAAAATCTCAAATCACATTCTGTTGAACTCGTGCACACTATCTGAACATCCGGTAACACGATCATATCAGTTATAACAGTAGGTTGCACTTTTAAGAACGCTGCAAAAAAGGTATCGATAAAAGTGTTAACTGAAGATGAGAGAGAAGTTAAGAAGTACTAACGATTTTTGGACTGCACAGTACGCTCATAGTTAAGATCTAATGACCAGTAATTAATCATTCCCTCTCGACTAACAGTTAGATAACAACCTCGACGGAAACTCGTGCTTCTATCCTAAAAATTGATATAATAAATCTGCAATAACTGTAAAAAACAGAAGCGAACAACATTTTTTTTGGAAGAATGATCGATATAAAAATCGGTCAACTCTTTTTTTTATTAAAAAAATCAGAATGTGTTTTTCCAACATAATTAAGAAATATGTTTTTCTAATCTATTTCAGAACGTAAAAAAGTATTATTATTGATACAGGAGAGTGAGCTTTCTCTGACAATATAATATATATATATATATATATATATACACATATATATACAGGGTGTTTTATTTTAAGTGATATGATCGATCTTGCGAATCGATGATTTTATTGAAGAATTTTTTGAACGAAAGTTGCATGGCTTGAAGGGGGACACACGATAAAAATGTGGACTTGACCTTGAGTGACCTGGTCAAGGTCATTAATGTTTTTTTTAAATAGAAACCTCTATTGTTGATCACATATTCTTGTAGCTTATCTCGAGAGCTTTCCAAAACATATATACTAAAATTACGTTTCATTGAGTACTTTCCAAGTTATGGAGCTTGAAAGTTATAGTTCCGCGTTATTCATGTACGCATGCGCGTGTGAGCAGGATTCTTACGCGGGCGCGTCTCCGCGATCTATCCACACTGCTTGACATATGCACAGATGCATGTCTTGCCTTCGGCCGAATCAGTAATCGGTCTTGCCTTAGTTGACCGGATCAGTGATCGATCTTGCCTTAATTCAAGGATCGGCAAAATGCTGAAACTGGGCACGGGCGTTCGCGAATACTCGGCTATTTTGCATATCTACAGTCAACTTCATTCAGAGGAGCGTATTCTATTTCCTTTGTACCTTAGAATGAAATTTTGTATTTTATACTTTTTTTTATCACAAAAATAGTATCGCGCATATATATGAGCGTTATAGTTTTTGGTCTCGAGTATTAAATTTTTTTAATAAAAGCAATAAATATTAACGTAAACAATAAATATATTTTATATAAATTCTTTAAATAAAAGCAATAAATATTCTGCTGAACATGCAAAATAAAAGAAAAATGATAAATAACTAAATAACAGTAGCAATATAGATAGGCAATCGTCAAATTATCTCTAGTCTAGCTTAGAAAAAAACTCTGTTTAGCTTAGAAAAAACAAAAATCAATTAATATTAATAATATGAATAAAAAACAGTTAACATTAATAATAATCAAAGTACGAAAAGAACTATAAGTACAGGTTCTGAGAGTCTGTGGGAAGAAAAATAGTTAATAATAATAAACTTAATAATTATGCACAATGTTTGATCTGTGGAATGAATATAATTCCAAAAAAATATAATATCGAGAGATATTATAACGCAAAACATGGAACTACTATGACAAGATAGAAGGATCGGAACGAGTTGAACTCTTAAACAATTTAAAATTAGCTGTCATCAATAATAAAGTAATTTTTATTTATAATATAGACATATAAGGTGATATTATGGTCAGTGTATATATCGTATATACCCTCTTAATATCTCCTATTAGGTAATAAATTCTAGTGATTACTAATGGAATTATTTGTACAGTAGTTTGTTGTTACACTAACGTTGTGTTGTGACGCTAATATATCAATATATACAATAGACAGCATTTATTATAACATATTGATGAATGTAATCATTAAGTTTTACATTTATATATTGATTATTATTAATCTATAGTTATTATATAAAATGTAAATGAGATGTCAGATAAACATCTTCTCTCCTCTATTATTCTCCTCTAATAGCATCTTTTCTTCTATTAAATATAAAAATATGTACATAAAGATATTTTTCTAATAGGAAGAAGAATCAGTTTTAAATAAACTTACTTTGTGTGCTAGTTACAAAATTGCCCATCTTATTGCACGTGAATCGCGTCCAGCATTGGTTCATTTATCAAACAATGTATTGAATGATTGCGGCAGAGACAGTATGTTCGGATAACATTAATAAATTCAAATCAATTAATCTGTCTTCTCGAACTATGACACGTCGCATTGAAAAATTAGGTGAAAATCTTGAGCGACAATTGCTATTAAAAGCAAAGAGTTTTATTGCCTTTTCATTAGCTCTCGACGAAAGTATTGACATCGTTGATACCGCACAATTAGCAATTTTTATTCATGGTGTGGATAGCAATCTGTCTGTTACCGAAGAACTTTTGAATATACCTATAAAAGATACGACAACAGGAGGACATATTGTCTAATGTTGAAGAAGCGGTGGAAAGTATAAATCTGTCTTGGGACAAATTGACTTCAATTGCTACTGATGGTGCTGCAGCAGTTGGACGTAATGCGGGCTTCGTAGGACGTTTGAAGTCTAAATTTATGAGGCAATCAATACAAGAAATTCATTCAATTCATTGTATAATTCATCAAGAAGCAAAATCTTTAAAGTATGACAAAGTAATGAAAATTGTAATTAAAGTTGTAAATTTCATTAGGACTACAGGATTGAACCATCGTCAATTTCGCGAATTTTTATCTTTTTTAGAGTCAGACTATACTGATATCTCCTATTTTTGCAAAAAGATGGCTTAGTCGAGATAAAACTTGAACGTTTCTTTCATTTGTACGAAGAAATAGCTATATTTTTAGAAATAAAAAATAAAATGGAGTAAAAATGCTCGTATATTTTCTTAAAAATTAACACAATGTCATAAAAAATAAATCTGTGCCTGAACTATCACAGCCTTTCTGAATCACCGATCTTGCTTTTCTTGCGGATATCACTAATCATTTGAATACATTAAATTGTCATTTACAAGACAAGGCTAAATTAATAGTTCATATGTTCGATCAAATTCAGTCTTTTAAAATGAAACTTAATTTATAGATTAATCAATTTCCATGCCGACAGTTATTACATTTTCCAAATTTATTATCTGTTGTTATATACATTAAAGACGAGCAAAACGAAATTATATAAATTCATTTCAATTATTGCATAATGAATTTGACTTCAGAGAAATGCACGTTTTAAAAGTAAATTTTCTTATCTTTATGACACCTTTCATATTATTGATATTAATATCATTTCCGCAGATATACAATTAGAATTAATTGATTTGAGATGTGACATTTTACTCAAAAATTGTTTCTACACAACAACTGACATTATGCAATTTTATTCATATGTATCACAAGAGCATTTTTCCCGATTACATGTTCACGCTGCAAAATAATAAGTATGTTTGGCTCTATTTATTCATGCGAACAATTATTTTCTATAATGAAATTAAATAAGTCAAAACTGGGCAGACTTTTACGATTCGCATTTAAACGCAATACTTCATTTAAATTGTGCCAGGACTATAACACCTGATATGTCACAAACAATATTAGATTGTTATCAATTAAATATGAATTTGTAAAAAACGAATTAAGAAACATTTATTCGAAACCTACATTGTTATTATTTCATACTAATTTGGAATTATCTAAATTTGTATAAAAGAATAATTTTTTAATACTTTTCCTGAGTGTCTGAAATTCTTTTGCATTATGTATAAAATGTCTATATATGTTTTTTCTTTTTTACAATTACTGTTCAACATTTAAGAAAAATTAAAAAATAAGATAATTAGAAAAACAATTTTTCAATCGCACTTTTTTTATTACAAATAAATAGAAATTATACAAGAGAAAGAAAATATGTTTTCCATGTAACACTTATTATTTTTCCTCATAGCATTTATTGCCCAAAGATGTTCAACTATTTACCCAACGTATTCAACTATTGTCTGCGGGCAACTGCTCGCGCCCGCGAGCAGTGCCCATCTACCGATCCCTGCCTTAGTTGGCCGGATCAGTGATCAGTCTTGTCTTAGTTAGTCGGATCAGTCCCAATCTTGCCTTATAATTTAACAAGTACTTAACGGAAAGTAACTTTATTATAGTGTTTTGGAAAGCTCTCGAGATAAGCTACAAGAATATGTAATAAAAAATAGGAATTTCCATTTTAAAAAACATTAATGATCTTGACCTGGTTTTGACAAGATCACTCAAGGTCAAGTCACATTTACATCATGTGTTCACCTTCAAGCCATGAAACTTTCGTTCGAAAAATTTTTCAATAAAATCATCGATTTGCGAGATAAAAAAAAATATATATCAAACATATCACTTAAAATGAAACACTCTGTGATATATATATATATATATACAAGGTGTATGTAAATGTATACATATAAATATATACATATATATACAAGATGTTTGATAAATAATAAATAAAATTCTCGTAGGGATCATATAAGGATAGAGCGGACTAAGCTGAATCGGAAACTCCTCTATCATTTTACAATTTTTACAATAGTTAATAAGATATTAATTACTAAAAATCACCGAATTGGTTTTTAATAATTTTTTACTCAAATACTATCAACTTTACAGAAAAATAGCAAGCAACAAAAAAATGTTTATTTTCTTCTCGTAGAACTATGAGAATTTTTTCAAAATTTTTTAGTACCGCATTTTCTCATGTTGGTAAAAATAGTTGCCAATATAAGAAAATACAGTATTAAAAATAGAACAGGGTCCCTTATTATTATTTTAAATAATGCATTAAGATTTCTCAAAAAAATGGTAGATACAGAAAAATATTTCAAACAAAAGTTGTATGATTCGGAAGGAGACATAAAAAGATACCATTGATTTGACCTTGAGTGGCGTCGTTAAAATCAGGTCAAGGTTATATTGATTTTTTTTTAATGGAACACCCTATTTTTGATAGCAGAATCTAATAGCTGGTGTCAAGAGTTTTTCAAAACACTATAATAAAGTTATTTTTCATTAAGTACTTTCGAATTATAAGGCTTGAAAGTATCAGCATTCCAGTATCACCGGCATTAGCATTACGCAAAGTGTCCGACCAACGGCTAAAACCTCTCGAATATTGTTCAGGATCATAAACAACATTTATTAAGATCAAGGCCATTGGAGGTTGTACCTGTTATTTTCATTTTTACACTAAAAACCATTTTTACGTAAAAATTAAAATAATAAATGTTATCCAGGACATGATCTGAGAGGTTTTAGTTATCGATCGGATACCTTGCGTAATGCTAATGTCAGCGACACAACTTTCAAGCCTTATAATTCGAAAAGTACTTAATAAAAAATAATTCTATTGTAGTGTTTTGAAAAGCTCTTGACCAGCTATTAGATTCTGCCATCAAAAATAGAATGTTCCATTAAAAAAAATTGATGTGACCTAACCTTGGCGATGCCATTCAAAGTCAATAGTACCTTCTTATGACTCTCTCCGAACCATATAACTTTTATTTGAAACATTTTTCCATAATCTACCATAGTTTTTGAGAAAGCTTAATGAAATATTTAAAATATTTGGGATACTCTGTATACATATAAAGAATTTTAGAAAAGATATAGATTTTTTGCACTTTTGAAAGTTCCAATCTATAAAAAATCTGAGAAATTTTCTAAAAAGTTAACAAAATTATATAAAAATTTTGGAAAATTCTGAAATTTATATGGAATTCTAACTGAAAAATTATAGAACAATTCTAAGAAATGTTTCACCAGGCAAATTTTTAATGTTGACCGCATACTGGCAAAACTTCCGGGCAAAATGTAATTCTGCACACAGGAGTGCGATGATGCGTTCTTAACAATTTGGGTAAACTCATTAATGGTATTTCCATTTGCGACTTCAAACTAGTGTCTATATTCCGAAATTCTATCAGTAAGTAAGAAATGAATTCATCCCATATTACTTTGCCATTAAGTCTCGTATCTATCTGAATTGACAATTAAATTTTTAAAAACATTTTTTAAAAATTGAAAGAAGGCAGAGATTAACTGACTTTATTGAATAAAACTTGAAATTCGTCCTGTGACATGTTTATTTCGAGGATATCACGAAAAGCATCATATAGTTGAGAAGAGTCCATCTCCCCATTCTCTGTTGCCTGTATCCAATTATATTTTTGTAAGAAAAAAATCATAAAAAACATTACATTTTTGAGAGGAAAAACGTTTAATTACCAAAAAAACATTGTGTAAACGTGTCAAAGATTGCTCGGTACATTGCTCTTCTATAGTTTTGATCCCGAAAAATTGTTCGAATGCTTCTTGTATACTACAATGGTAATGCTCATATACATAATAAATAACAACTACATAAATTGCTACAATAACAGTTGTTATTGTTACTTTTTCACTAACCTTACGTGATTTTTATCAATAAATGCCATCACAATTATAATTTTCTAATAAATGAAAAAATTTATTTCATAGATCAAGAGCATATCAGGAATGTATCTGATAATTTTATCCATTCACGTTCCTACAAATCAAAGGATTACATCAAATATTAATATATATCCATCTTCCACTATGTATGTGATCCACTATATATGTATATATCAATTAAAAATCCGCCATGATACATATTCATTTCACACGATTAAAAACAAATACCAATCATACCGTTGCATCGATTACTACCTTAATTATTATTACATTCATGATTATGTTACTACTGCCATTACTATTGCTACATTTTACTGATTTTATGGTTATGCTGTCGTAATAGGCAAGCAATTTACTTCAAAAAGTTGCTTAGAAATGCACTAACTGTTCAGATAGCAAAGCATGTTTCAATACAATCGCACAAATCTGTGATTGCTTATGATGCTGGCAACTTACCGTAAATTTGTCTTCAACACTTTCGAATATACCGACATTATAGTAACATGCAGACAATTGGCTGCGTTCGGAAACGTCGCTCGGATGCCTCCAATGTTTTGGACCAGTTTTTTAAAAGCTACCCTATTCCGTCATAAAGAGTAAACATTAATCTAGTGCAAAAATTATTGAACTACGCCATGGGTGCATTTAATGAACAAAAATTCATTCATTACTCACCCTCTTTATCCTAGCTGTCAAAGCATTTTGTGTTGTGAGCATTTTAAAGATGGCACCCTACCATTTTTGTAATCTACAAATCCTCCCCTTTCCAACGGTAGCCCTTTTATAAACATACATGTCGGGTCATTTTTTCAAAATTTTTAAATCAAAAACGTCATAATTAATGATATTCTTGACCACTTTTTTTTAGACACCTTTGCGGTTTAGTGTTGCCCTCAACACGAACTTCAATTTTTTTACATTTCATCTGCATACACGATAGGTGCATAAATGGCACAAACTCGCGGTGGAATATCTCATACTAAATGGGTACATCCAGAAGCACGACCGCTCACTGAACGCTCAATGAGCTCTTGCATCTGATATTCCATTAGATCTAAAAATATAGACCAAACAGGTACAAGAGCTTCACTGAGCGCTCAGTGAGCGGTTATGCTTCTGGACGCACCTTATGGCTGCATTCAGCGGACTCAACAGTTGAGTTTGAGTGAGCACTCGCTGTTATTGGTGTATTCTTTTAAATCATTCAATCAATATTTTAGATCTCGAAAAATAAATCAATAACACTCAACTGTTGAGTCCGCCGAACACAGCTAATGTTTCAACATCGAATTGTGAACTAATATTGCGACTGGGCATAGCGCTTGTTTGAAAATTGAAATATTTGCTCTGGGATATAAACATTAATAACACACGAATTTTTAATATTTTTATTACAGTTTTAGGCCTTGAGATCATCTTTATTATCATTATCATCATCTTTATTTACGCATTTATTAAAAGTTCTACAAACCAAACATTTTAAATTCGAATTAAGCCAAACAAGAACATGGGTGAATTTTTTAATTTATCGATTGATCAATCGCATTATGCGCAAATGCAACTTTTATGGAACAAAATTACATTTGTGCACAGTGCGATTGATCAATCGATGAATTAAAAAACTCGTTTCATGTTGCAGTCGAACAATTCGAGACTTTCCTCCACAGGAAGGTATGTTGATTTTGCCCTGGCAAAAATACGGAACTTAAAATGTTGACGACGTTCGATGACGTTCGATGACGATTTTTTAAGAATTGATATGTTTCTAAACGCTTTATAAAAATGCTTACAGAACACCTTGAGTTTGAAACACTTTCAGAACGGTTATAAAATACAGTATATATCATTTCATGAAAGTTCTGTAATGCTAAAGTAACACTTTTCACAGATGCTCAGTAAACGCTGATGCACCTTCGTGCAGAGAGTTCACTATCAGACTTTTCAAACATTTAGCAAACGCTTTTCTCAATGAGACAAGCATTTTTCTTCCGTTCAACAAACGCTGTTTCAATGCGAATTATTGAGTCTTAGTAAACATTTTGTAAGGCGTTTACGCAAAGCACAGCTTAAAGACGCCCAAAAAATGTTTTTTCTTCAACTCCATAACACAAACCTTTTTCCTTTATTTAGCAAACATTCTTCTACATATCTAATTTTTAAGCAATGCACAACATCGCCACTAAAGGGACACAGTGAAATTCGATTTCTCGTATTAAAAAAAAACTACATCGAATAGGATAAAAGGCGCAGTATGATGAGAGTCTTCAGTGAAAAATTTTGTTATAAAATGTCCTTTTTTTTTATAAAATGTCTGAGTTTAACAAACTTAACACTAAACGCTCATGAAACTTTTTATTTTCGTCAGAGAATGCCTTCCAAACATTGCAGCGTTGCAATTTCTGCTTTGCTCTGGAATATAAATATTAATAACAGAGTTTTTAATATTTTTATTACACTTTTAGGTCTTGAAATCATCTTTATTATCATTATCATCATCTTTATTTACGCATTTATTAGAAGTTTTACAAACCAAACATTTCAAATCCGAATTAAGTCAAACAAAAGCATCGGTAAATTTTTTAATTTATCGATTGATCAATTGCATTATGCGCAAATGCAATTTTTTAAATAAAATTGTAACAAAATTACATTATTTATGAACACTCTATTGACCGGTTCTGAATTCTCAACGAATTTCTGCAAACGCTTATGTAAACGTTAAACAAACATTTATGAAACTTCTCATTTTCGTCAGAGCGCAGACGTGCCTTTAAGAGTCTCATTATGATAATAAAGTTTTCACTATTAATAACATTATAGAATAAAATAAAATAAAATTCTCGTTTAAGAAGTTTAAAAAGTTTAAGAAAAGCCGCTTTAAGAAGTTTAAGAAAAGCCGAATATTTTCGTTTTTCATACTCATTAGAAAATTTGAAAAGTTTGTGAGAAAAAAATTCATAAAAATAGTCATTTTTCAAGATTGGACTCAAGGACTTTTTTTTATCTCAAAAATTATTGATTTTATAAAAAAAATCTAAGAGACAAAAAAATGTTCATTTTAATCTAATTAAGCTTATAGAATTTTTTCGGAATTTTCATTCAAAGTTTAAATTTTTTTACTAAATAATTATTTTTAACTATTCAACGATCATGTAAAAAAATAAAGTATATATAGATGTTTTTCGCAGAATATGAGGAATTGAATTAAGTCATTTCTAGTCACTAGAACGTTGGTTGGTTGGTTAGTGACCAACTGAAATGGGGGTAAACCGCTCTCACCTATAAAGTAAAGAAATAACTTGAAATAATCAATAATTTCGCTTGTGTTTGTACGACAGCTGTAAGGAAAATGATTACTCAAGGTATAGTATAGTACTCTATAATAATCGGATCAATGCAATGATACATATTCCATTCCGAGGAAATTCAGGCTTTGTCGAACATGGAATTATTTACCGCTTTGAGCTTATTCAGTCGACAAAAGTACGAGGCGTGCGCTGCAATATGCACGGATTTGTTGAGAAAAAATCCGCTAGATCAGGTATATTTCTCTTTATTTCTTATGCATAAAATAGTAATTGTTTACGAATCAATCGTGACATATGACTTCGTTACCAGGCCGTATGGGTCCTGAAAATGCGTGCTTTAACGCTGCAAGTTTACGTGGACGATATTGAAGGCGAGGAAGAGGGAATCGCCGAGACCTTATTAGATAATTATGCGATATCGACGATGCCCAGACCGGGTACTTCATTGAGAAATCCTGGCACTAGTTACACTGGTCAAGGAGTACGGCCTAAAACACAATCCGGTTTGTCAGAATTCATCTGAGAAAATTACAACCTTTTTCTAATTTTTATTCATGCATTTTAAAATTAAATCCTATATTAATATCTTAAAGGCAGACCTGTTACTGGAGTAATACGGCCTGCCACACAAGCAGCAATGTCTCAATCGATTGAACAGGCATTGAGAACACCGAGAACAGCAATGACTGCTAGGCCAATTACAGCAAGTTCAGGGCGCAGTGTTAGGTATATTATACAATATGACTTATATGCGCGTAATCTTAATTGTAAATCAAGAAAAGATTAAACGAGGTCTTTTCCTCCAAGGCTTGGCACAGCGTCAATGTTGACAGAACCTGGTGGACCATTTATCCAATTATCGCGATTGAACATAACTAAATACGCTAATCAGCAAAGCATAGCAAAACCATTGTTCGAATATATATATTATCACGAGCATGATGCGAGATACGTGAGTATAAACATTATATTGACGGATTATTACTATTATAATATTTTTAATTAAATATTAAAATATATTCATTGAATATATCACAGGCACTGGACTTGGCTGTTCAGGCAACGCAGGTCTGTCAATATAAAGATTGGTGGTGGAAAGTTCAACTGGGAAAGTGTTATTATACTTTAGGATTGATAAGAGATGCAGAGCAACAATTCAAGTCGGCGTTGAAGGATCATAAAAACATCGAAACGGTCTTGCGGCTGATCAGAGTCTATATTCGGCTCGATCAGCCAGTGGCTGCTCTGGATACATGTAAGAGAGGCCT